ATTCTAAGTACGTCACCTTAATGCAACAGTTCTGTGATGTTTCTGTATGGTCACTTTATATATGGGGAAAGTGAGGCAATGGAATTATTTCACCAAGTAATTTGAAGTCAGTGGCAAAGCTACGATTGGAACTCAGTCACTCTAACTCTAAAATCCATGCTATGGTGCCACAGTGTACTGCCTCTGGAGATAATAGGATCAAGGTGTAAAAACCTCTGGTCTGGAGCCAGGCACCCAGTTGGTGAGACTATTCCAAGGTTTAGAAGAAGAGAGTTTAATAGCTCTGGCCACCCACACAAAGAGAAGCACCAATTTGTGGAGAGTGCTGTGATTTTTTGATCTTATACCAAAACTTTCTTATGTTTTTGCCTTTGAACTTTGAGGACCTGCTGGCTGARCTTTCCTAATTGTGGGGGATTCCTTTAGAGAAGGCGTCTGTTAGCACACACCACATACCTTCTCGGCACCTGCCAGGACTCCTAGGGCTGCAGGTGGGCGGGGATGAGAGGCCTGCGCAGCGCAGCACAGGTGAACACTCCACCCCCCTCGCCGCCTGTGGCCTCCAGCCCAGCTCCCTCCCGCTGCTGGAGCTTCAGTCTTTCCTGTTGACGGTAATTAGAACCTTTCAGCCTCAATTTCTTACGTGAAAAATCCCAATTCACTTGGATTGTCTCCTTGATCCAGTTCACCTGGAGCTATTTAGTTTCTGCAGCTTGTTTGGAGGGGAAAACAAGCTCCTAAGCCTTCACACATTAGGGCTGATAAGATCAAGGTGCTCAGAGTGGTGGGGGTAAGCTGCCTGGATTTGAATTCCAGTTACACTTCACAAGCGTGCACAATCTGAGTTTGTGTGTCTGTGAAGTGGGAATAAAAACAGTGAAGATTCAATGGGGTAACACACATAAAGCCTGAGGAGCACATACAATGGCTCAGACAYTATTCTAAGTACTTCACCTTAATGCAACAGTTCTGTGATGTTTCTGTATGGTCACTTTATTATGGGAAAGCGAGGCAATGGAATTAATTCATCAAGTAATTTGAAGTCAATGRCAAAGCTAGGATTGGAACTCAGGCACTCTTAACTCTAAAATCCATGCCACTGTGGTGTGCATGCACAAGCCCCTGGGTTCAATCCCCAGTAACAAAGTTAGCGGGTAGTATTTTCATTATTAAGCCCCTCTAGCTATCAGCCCCCTTCCTTTCTTACCAACTTGGGATCTTGCTCTTTCTGGAAAGATAGTCCCCTTCTTGTCCCCCACACTCTAGGCCTTCCCCTAACCAGGTTATTTCATCTCTAAGCTTCCAAGTCCTTATCTGTGAAATGGGACTTGGGATAATGAGGTCTGCTTCATAAGGTTGCCACAAAGGTTAAGTGCACTCATTCAAGTGCTGAGCACTGTGCTCAAACACTGTTCACTCTCACTACTGTTGTTCCTGCAGCACAAAAGGCTACCAGGAAGGGCCTTTGAAATCTTAGAGCACTAAGAGCCAAAGAGCCCGTCATACACAGCAGCATTTGGAGTTAACACATGCCTGAGTGGGAGCCTGCGAGCTGGGACACTGCTGGCTTGCTCCTGGCTGAAATTCTGCACCTGGAATGCAGGAGACACATGGGGATGCTAGGTGACTGGGTAGAGCAGAAGAGCCTTCAGAAATGAGTTTGTTCAGGCGGCCTGGCAGATAATTTTCAAGGCAAAACACAGGTAGGTGTTTGGGCATTCCCCCCCCCCCACGCCCCAGCAAGAAATACCTCCCTGCTCTCCTCTCCTCTACTGTCTTTACCCTCAGGATTTAAAAACAAAAACAAAATAACTCCCATTATTTGGTGGTACTAAATTCTACACATTCTGTACTTTGTAGACAGTTTACTTCATTTCAGTCTTGAAAAGCAGGTATTATCATTCCCATTTTACAGATGAGAAGCTGAGATGGAGAGAGATTAAGCAGTTTGCCCAAGGTTACATACCTGGTAAATTGTAGAGCCAAGATTTGGAGCCTCACCTACGGGGCAGAAAGGGGACTGCACCTATGTGCTCATTAGTGTTTCAGTTTTAGAATTAGTCTCACTGCAGTCCCCACAGATGCAGGAGTGGCTCCTGTTCACCACCAGAATGGCTTTTCCTTGGAGTCCTTTGGTCTTGACATTATCTGGCCACTCCTTAAATAGAATCAGAACTGCGCTTGCTTGCGTGCCCCGCTCTCCTCACTCACTCTCTCTTAAAAGTTGTTTGCTTACTTGCATTTTCATGAATCTCTTTATATGACCACTGTCCTGACTTAATAATTGAGAGAGTCAAGTTCCAGAAGTGTTGGGCAGGGTGTCCTCTGTTGTCAGATTTTCAAGAGCTCTGTGTTGCTTTAGTGTTAGGGTTGGAATCTGGAGTATCCCCCAAAGACTCACATGTTGAAARCGTGGTCCCCAATGCAGCAATGTTTAGAGGTGAGGCTTTGGAGAAGTGATTGGTTCATGAAGTCTCTGACCTCATCAGTGAATTAATCCCTTAATGAATTTATAATCTGAATTGACTTTTGGAATACTGAGGAATCTATAAGAGGTAGAGTCTAGTGGGCCCTTGGGACTATATCTTGTCTTTGGCCCCTCCCTCTGCCTCTGCTTTGTGGCTGCCATGGACTGAGCAGTTTTCCCGTCACACCGTGCCATAGAGTCAGCTGACCATGGGCTGAAACCTCTGAAATCAAGAGCCAAAATAAATCTTTTCTCCTCTAAGTTGATTTTCTCAGGTATTTGTCACAGTGACAAAAATCTGACAAGCACAATTAGATATGAAATGATTTTTATAAATTATTTTGCCCTTTGGAAGTGAATATTTGAAGTGTATTAATTAGAAAACATTAAGAACCAGCCAGACACAGTGGGGCACACCTGTAATCCAGCAACTTGGGAGGCTGAGGCAAGAGGATAAAAAGTTTGAGGGCAATCTCAGTATTTTAGCAAGATCCTGTCTCGGAAAAATAAAAAATAAAAAGAGCTGGAGGTTTAACTCAGTAGTAAAGCACCACTGGGTACCATCCCCAGCACCCAAATAGACACTAGTATTGCTATATGTATAAACATGACTGTAAGACCAATGTGATTCTGCAACCTRTACACTCAGAATAATGAGAAATCATACCCCATTTGATTCAAATGTATGATATGTCAAGATCATTGTACTGTCATGTGTAACTAATTAAAATAAATTTTAAAAAAGGAAAAAAAAATTAAAACTAGAGGAAAAAAAATCAAGAACCTAAAGAGGGCCAAGACTCTAAAAACTAGGAGGCTGAGATTGATTCCAAGCATTTTTTTATATTAGATAGGGGGATTACTTTCTCTCTCTTTCTCTCACTCACTCATGCATCTTCTCATTTTCTTTCACCCTGTTTATCATATCAAGATTATTTTCCAAGTAATTTGGGGGATAAATGTTAATTCCTGTGAAACACTTTGACCCTGCTCTCAAAAATGGTCTCAGATATATTTGCCAAAGTTTATCCTACAAAATCACTGGTGAGTCGAAGATTTAACTTTCTTTTATTTACTCCCTGACAGAAAGCACTTCCCTCTCCATACAAAGTCCTGGTGAGAATAAAGGGAAATTCATTAGGTTCAATGACTTTTCTCCCTTCCCTCACCTCTCCTGTTCCTCACCCCAAATCCTTGAGACTATGGCTATTACTCCCTCCCTGAAGAACAAGACCTCCTGCTAGGCTGTGCCCSAGGTCAGGCGAACAAGGAGAGGAAAGTGCCCCCTCCACTGTGGCCAGCTGAAGGCCACAAAAGCCATCTTGATCCTTTGACCTATATTGATGCTGAGTCTGTTCCTTTGGTGTCCCTGACTTTGGCAGTGTGGTTAGTTCAACTCTCTGCCCCCACCTTGAATTGAGCTTTGATGAAAAAGTAGTAGGAACCCAGGCCTCTCCCTGGAGATTTGGGGTTTTTGTCTTGGAAAAGCATCAACCAAACTAGCAGGGGCAGGAGATCTGGATTCCTGTGGCTTGGGCTAACTTAGGTCCAAAGAAACCAAGTGCCTGTGATCATCGTCTTCATTCCCCAAATGTAGCCATGCCCTCTGGATTCCCTTCTCWCTCATCCTCCCCCAGCGAGGATGGCTTCAGGGTGGATTGCTCTTCTTTGACCATTAGCATGTCCTTCCATATTTGAAAGGCTTTGGTACATGAGAATACTTGCAGATTGCTGTTGCCTGGCTGACCCAAAATCTTTTGGCTTTAGTACATGCAATACCAGAACAACTATAAAGCACCAGCCTATTTTCTCTCCCTTGAGATCCTATAAACCTCTCTGAAATTTGCCTCTTTGGCAAATCTGGACCACAGAGCCTCCTGGCTCCTCTCTCCCCAGCACTGCTTCTGTATATCAGGAATCTTTTGGTTGTCCTGATTGTATTTCTTGGACCTTTGTCTTGGCTTCCTATAATAGGATGACCAGATTTGTGTGCAGAAATCCAAAAGAAGCCAGCCTCCTGTGATCCCAGATGACAGAGTAATAAGGTCTGTGGGTTTCTGTGTGATACTCTTCTCCATATATGCAAGACTGTTTGCCTCKGTCATGCCTCCAGATATTCTGCGGGTGATCTTTGGGCATGCAGTGGTGAATGTTACGGTGCCAGAGAATTTCAACAGATTTAACCAATGACGAATGACTCATTCATCCAAATCTTTATACAAGAGGAAAACCAAACTAGGAAGGCTGAAGAAGTTCCCTATCTTGTTTCCTGTCTTCACCTGACCATTCCTCAAATCAGTAAAAGCTCCTTTGGTCAAAGTGGTTGTAACTGGGTGCCTCCATCCAGGACAAGCTTTGTAGAAATACTAATCTTAAAGTCTCACCCCAGAGGTTAATGGCTACACACTGTAACACTGACTCCCCTTAAAAGAACAGCTCTACCAAGACTGGATCTGTAACCAGGAAATGACCAAGAGAAGGCAGCGACTTGAAATACAGAGACCTAATGTACTTCTCTCTATTTCCATTCCAGATTTGCTGACGATGAAAGAATATCACTGTCTGCTGCAGTTACTGTGCCCGGATTTCCCACTGGAGCTCACTCAGAAAGCAGCCAGGTATGTCTCGGGCTCTTGCAGCCTGCTGAGTCTTCCAGATGAGGRCTTTTTAGAGAAATCTGAACCATGTATGAGTGAAAAAAGTCATTAGGGGAAAAATTGGCATTTGGAGAGTGGTCTATTTGGGGTTTGCCCCAAAACAATACTTTCTTCGTTTCTTAAGGGAAGCCAAATGATCCTTTGTGGTTTCTGTGGGGAGCCTCAGGGTCTGAAGATACAGTTGGAGGATGGTGAAATGAAGAAGAAAAAAAAATCCAAACACAAAACACATGTGCGCACGCGTGTGCACACACACACACATACACACACAAGAGGACATTCTGAGAAAAGAGGGGGCAAGAGTTGGCAGTGACTCATGATGAAGAATGTTGGGGACCRGAAAGGCATGAAGGTGATAAAACTCCAATTGAGGGAAAGACAAATTGAGGGAAGGGTATTATGTATGCCAGAAGAAGGCTTTCAAGATTAGTCCAAAAGCAGGACTTGGCAGACATAGTTAAGAGCCCTCATTTCTATGTTCAGTTTTACTATCATTCACATGTTTTAACCAAATGAAGTAGTTGGACCATGCCTCAGTTAATGTGTACATATTTAACATTAACTAGGGATGCAAATGGAAATATAGTTTTAAAAAAATAAGAGATCTTGTTTCTGAAAGATGCCCAGCTTCCCTAAATCATATTGAAGGCATTTACCTCATTATTCCATTTAAATTTGTTTACCTAACTATCTCACTTAATCCTTATAAAAACTGTTACATCGTACTTTACTGAAGAGGAAAATAAGGCTCAAACAGATAAATAACATTGACTAGATTTATTGAAAGCTTGTAAGCAGCAGACGCATGAGTTGGACCCAAGTCTGCCTGAATTCAGAGGCTTTGCTTAGTCCCCACACTCCTGCCTCTGTGTCGTGGCATCATTTCTGCTTTGTCTGGGCCTCTTGAGACCAAAGGTGCATCAGTTGTACTGCACCAAGAATCACCTCACTCCTTCCGAATTGAGCCAGCCAACCCCTCTGCTGACTTGGATGATGGGAAGTCCATTGCTACCAGCAGGAGACACCAGCYTCCCACTGGGGCAGGATGTCCACCGTTCACATGAATTAATTTTGCTGGTCATGTGAGAAACCTGTTTAGTGATCACATATCCAAAATTTTATAGTTTTTTTTTTTTCTTCCCTCTTTATTGTTCAGTGCATACTTATCCCAGTGGCAGCTAGCCATGGGTAAAAGTTCTAGATCATGTTTTATCATTTTTATTTACCTGTATCCAAAGGAAAGGAGATTTGGATGTTTTTTTTTTTTTCTTAGCTGAAGAGGGAGGGAGGGGGGGGGGGGGGGGGGGAAGGGAGGAAGGAAGGAAGGAAGGAAGGAAGGAAGGAAGGAAGGAAGGAGAAAGAAAAGAGAGGGAGGGAGGGAGGGAGGGAGGGAGGGAGGGAGGGATTATCTCTTCTAATTTAAAAGCAAGCAAGTGGAGTTAGCTTCAGGTTTCCATGATGCCCCCTTTGGGTTCAGATCATGTAAAGAAAGATTCAGAATGGGGGCGGGGGTGAATTCAGCATTCTTAAAGACTGGACTGATGGATAAAAGCATGAGCAAGGTGTGGCGACACATTTCTATAGACCCAACAACTCAGGAGAGGCTGGGGCTGGAGGATGGTGAATTCAAGGCCAGTATGGGCAACTTCATAAGACCCTGTCTCAATCAATTTATCATTCAATTAAAAAAAAAAAAAGCACAACTCTATGTAGAGAATTTTTAAATAAAGAAAAGATCCACACATGTGCATGTGTGTGCTCCAGGAGAGCAGGCAGGATCTAAACCAGTACTGCTCACTGCTGAGATCCTGTCACTTAGCATAGTACCTCAATGCATGCTAGAAGGTGTCTGCTGAATAASTGAATGTGTGGAAAATGTGTGAATGAATATTCTRTGTCTGTTTTTTTTTTTTTTYCCAGTGCTGAGGATTGAACCCAGAGCCTCACACACATGCTAGGCAAGTGGTCTACTGCTTACACACATATCCACCCTTGTCTGAAATTKTACATGGTTCTAAGTAACTTTAAGAACAAGAGCCAGCAACTGTATTTTTTTTGTGGTTGTAGATGGACAGAATGCCTTTATTTTACTTGTTTATTTTTATGCGGTGCTGAGGATCGAACCCAGTGCCTCATGCATGCTAGGCAAGCACTCTACCACTGAGCTACAGCCCCAGCCCCAGCAACTGTATTTTGTATTCAATTATTCACTTGCTTATTTATCAAATATTTCTTTTTTAACAATCTCTTTTTGGGGGGATACTATTTACAAACCATCCACTTGAAGTATAAAATTCAGTGACTTTTAGTTTATTTTTAGAGTTGTACATCCATTAACACAATCAATTTTAGAATATTTTTATTACTATAAAAAGAAATCCTAGGGCTGGGGATGTGGCTCAAGCGGTAGCGCGCTCGCCTGGCATGCGTGTGGCCCGGGTTCGATCCTCAGCACCACATACCAACAAAGATGTTGTGTCCGCCGAGAACTAAAAAATAAATATTAAAAATTCTCTCTCTCTCTCTCTCTCTCTCTCTCTCTCTCTCTGTCCTCTCTCACTCTCTCTTTAAAAAAAAAAGAAAAAAAGAAATCCTAGCCAGGTACAAGGTACACAACTATAAAACTCCAGTTACTCAGGAGACTGATACAAAAGGATGGCAAGTCTGAGGCCAGCCTGGAAAACTTACCAAGATCCTGTCTCAAAACAAAACAAAACAAAAAGCTGGGGCTGTATTTCAGGCTGTGATGCCCTGTGTTCACCCCTCAATCCTGCAAAGGAAGGGAGGGAGAGAAGGGGGGATGGGGAAAAGAAGAGAGGAGAAAAGAAGGCAATGTAACCCTTAGCCATTTTTCTCCAACCCCCTGTCCTCCCCAGCGATAGGCAACCACTAATGTACTTTCTCTCTATATAGATTCACCTATTCTGGGCATTTGAAGTAAATAGGATTATAGTATGTGGTCCTTTGCTAGTGGCTTCTTTCACTTGGCATGAAGTTTTCAAAACTCATCCATATTGTAGCATGCGTCAGTACTTCATTTCATCAAATATTTCTGGAGTGCCAATTTTGTGCAAGGAACTACTGTGTACACTGTGGATACAGTCACCAGTGAGACATCATTCCTGCCATTCGTGGAGCAACATTTAATTTAGAAGRGAATCACTTGGGTACCAGTCACTGGCCACCACCTCTTTTGATACATCACTTTGGTTTCTGTCACCTCAGAATATCCACTCTTTCTCTTATTGGAAAGGTAAAAGTGAACTTATGAGAGTGAGTCTTCTATTTGATTATTAACCCCACCAGCTTGGGCTACGCATTTGCCGCATACATCTCTCCAGGCATTTGCAAACCATCTGACATAGGAAAGTAGTGCAAGACTAGGGTATAAATGATAGAGTCTTCTAAAAACCCACAAATTCTTAATAAATTTGAGTGTTACTTGGCATCCTTATTGATACAAAGGGGTTTCTAGCATGGTGCTCCTTTATTTGTGGTGGGAAGCTTATCTGCTGACTTAAAACAACAACAACAACAACAAAAAAACACTTTTTGGTTTGAAGAGGAAGCATTATAGCCAGCTCTGTCAATAGTAGTGTGATGGGATTATGGGTATGCAAGTAGAAATGGCAGAAGGGCCTCAGAAAATCTGCAGGGGACTGGCTGCAAACTTAGAGATGAATTGGGAATCAGGGATCTTTGTTTTCTCCCTGGGTATGAATATCAGGATTATCTTTTCACCCGACMTCCTCAATGTCTCTCTTTCCCTACTCCACTTCTGATATCCCAGAAAATGCCATCTGATTGTTTAAGTTATTCTCATTGTGTCCCAAAGGTCAAGATCCAACTTCCCCACACACATGCCCAGGCATCTAACCAGAATCACAAATTGGGGTGGTTAGTCCTGCAAAGCAGTTATTGTTGCTAGAAGAGGAAGTGCCCTCACCCATCCCACTGCCAGGCTTATTTAATCAGAGCCCTGAGGTCTGGGGACAGACTGCAGAAGGAGGCTCCAGTCTGATGATGTGTACGTAAAAGAATGTAATCCACAGGCAGCTGTACACCAGAGCCTGTGCCAGGCATGGTGTCTCCACATGCGCCTGCTTTATGGGCTGGCTATAAGCATCATGGTCAGGCCCAGGGCAGCAGGTGTGAGCTGGAAATATAGAAGGAACAAACAGACTCCACCACGGCAGCCCCAGCCACAGATCCCCTTCACCTCATGTATTCCTGCAACAGTGGGACAGTTAAATAATTGTATCCCCAGATGATCACCACTGCATCTTCATCTCTCCAAGCTGGGAAGCTTTCCTGATGGTTAAGAAAAAGTAATTTAGTTGGGCCTCAGTGTCTTCATTTGTAAAATGAGAATAATAATAGTTGTAATAATTGAAGGAAAATTATGTAATATGCTTAAAAGGGGTCCCTGGCACAAAATAAACTTACAATAAATGTTAGAAGTAGTAGTATTAACCATGACCTACAGGAACACAGGCACCATGATGTTAGAAAGACCTAGTTGTACATTCCACCTGCCTCATCATTAGATGACCTTGAGGATATCTCTTAACTTCTCTGAGTATTGTTTCCATATTTGTAAAATGAGTATAATAGTAATAAAAATAACTATAGGGTATTGGTGAGATTTCAACAACAGAAATACGTCAATTGGTTAGCACATTGCAGACAGTCAATAAATAATAACCATTTGCTATCATAATAATGTTGGTACTATTGTTATTACCAGATTTTTAAAAATAATATTCCTGGGCTCCCAAAGGCAATGCCTTCTGGGACTTTTTCACTTCACAACACTCAGAAAATAAAATATAACAAAAACATTGGGTAAAAACAAGACTGGCTGTGGTTGGCCTGCAGGTTCTGGCCTTCTCCCCAGATGGGCTAAGGGGACCATCACATTTACAAATTATTTGAGATCTAAGTGTCACAGGGTTGGGACA